TATCATTAGTATCTGCCACTGCTGTAGCCCTTCACTCAACATGAACTGCATCCTGGGAAACTCCACTAAAGATAACTTATGTGAAGAAGTGCACAAAACTGGAAGTCATATCAGGAGAACTTGTTTCACCAGTAATATTACATGTATCAAAGTAGCAATTCAGACTTACTGCACATGGCCTTTAATTTTACTATGTTTGCCGTAGACTGTTTGTCCAAATTCTCTGAACGTTTCATGAAACAAAACCGTTAAAAATTGTGTAGCAGCTTTCCGAGGTGAGGAACCCCTAACACTTTAGAGAACAATACATTATGTGCTGGGAGGAAGTGAGTGAGAAACATACGCAGTTTACACATCATGTGTGCAGTAAACACACATTTAAACAATGGACGGTACATTAGTCACCAATCCGTTTATTTTGAAAGTGATCTGAGCTCCTTGAATTTCACTTGGAACTAGTACTAGAGGAATGCCTTATTCTAATTCAGTACATGTATTACCATAGTAATAAACTAATTCTGTTGTTATTACATGTGTGTTATAATTGGGGCTCATGATACTGAAGTCAACATAAAATGAACCCCAGTTGAGAGAAAGAAAATATTTTAGGGTTAATTCTCTGCTGAAGGCTACCAAATAAATTTGAAATTGCCAGTTGCTAAACCCACTGATTTCACAATGTTCCTTGACACAGACTAAGTAGAGATGAAAGAAATTCTACAGCTAGTCCCTATTGTGCAGTCAAAAGACTCAGCCCTTTGATAATGCAGTTCCAAATTATCAAGAAGTCAATCAAATAAGTGCTAAAAAAATAGTTTCTACATATTCACAATGGCCTGATTAAAAGATGATGCTTACGTAAAATGAAAAGGACTGCAAAATGTCTCACCCAACCCTGCTATGACAAGCAGCTACATTATGTAACTCGTTCATAAAAGGACCAGAACCTTAAACAACCTTTAAGTAGTTAGTTCTGTCCCAGACCTCGCTCTTCTGGTACTTACCAACCTGGCTCTATATTCCAGGCTGGATTTACTATTCACTGTTAGTCAACATTATTGTTCCAACATTAGAAAGTGTTACCTTGCTCAAAAGATACACTCCCTATGTATATTCTAAATAAAACTTTTTGACTTAAAACAAACAACTGAGTTTACTGCATCTTCCACCTATTAGCCTGCAGGAATCATACTAGTTTATAGACAATGAGTTAGATTTGAACACATATAACGTGTTCACATGCATTAAGTACAATAACTTTGTATAAGTTCTTGGGAGCAAAATGGGCCTTGCAGAGCTTTCACCAGTGATACTTTGGAAGCAGTCCCACTTGGCTTTCCAAATGAATCTGTAGGCATCAGAATGAGAGAACTTCTAAAGGAAGCACAAGTAATGCAACAGTTATTGATGGTCGATAAACAGAAAACCTAACAATGCCATTTCACTGCAAATTATTGTCAAATTGAAATGGGATTTAACCACAGCATTGACATTTAAATGGATATAAGACACATCCCAGGGAAAGTAAATGTGAACATTTGTGCTGATTCCCTTTTACCAACTATTATCTCTCTCTTTGCCAATTTTCTTGTATGCAGTAAAGGAAAAGTTCTTCCCATATTAATACTGAAATCTGTTATTCCATCAGCATAAGAATGAAAAAAGAAAGGAATGAAAGATGAGTAGTACACTTTGAACTGAACCAATACAGATTTAGCCGCTTTACTGTAAATTCCTTCTTAGGCAAGCCTTCCTGTACCCGATTCCTTCTCTGCAGTCAATACTAGATTTATTTCACCACAGTCTCACAAGAATGAACTACTAAAGGTCATGAGTCAAGGGAGGTTGGACCATCACTAGCAGAAAGCTTGATAAGAGGTTCCAAAGGATGCAAGTACTGTATCAGCTCAGGTCCTGAAAGCTGGTCTGCCTTGACAATACCGCTTCCAGTTCAGGACATAGAGCTTGTTCAGATGTCTCCACACCACAGTCAACTGAGCATTGGCTAAAGGAATTATGATCCCATTTACTTTAGTTATATACCTCACTGTTAAGCTTGTAAGAAAAAACTACCAAGAGCTTTGATGAAACAGAATTTTCTGTTTAAATATCCATCTAGTATTGGTTCATAAAACTGCCTCACCATTTCTCATTACTTTTAATGATATATAAGATGCAAGATGTAAGACCACTAGAAAACAGTAGAAAAGCATGGATGATGAAAAGAAAGACATATGGAGAAAACATGAACAGAAAAGCCTAAAAAGGGAAAAATACAAAGTAATAAACACAGATCCTGTGTGAAATCGAGAGCTCACAGTCGTCTTGTGGACGCTAGAACAATCATGGTACTATTGCATAGCTGTGCATGCTCATTTTGAGAGGTAAAAATGTTAGCACTGCACAATTTTAAACAATAAAGTCAACCTTGTACCTTCATTTTCATTTTTAAATTGCACAAACCACAAAGATTTGTGGTGCATAAATCCATTTTCAATAGGCTGCTTAATTGGTACTGCAAGTCTGATGTATCAGCTGCCTGGGGATCTGGACAGCAGCCAAGCAGCCCAAGTTCAATTCGTACAGTAGCTCTATCTGCTCTTTCTTCTAACATAGAAGGACTACAGCTACTATAACTTAAAGTTACCACTAATGCATCTTGCATAAAGTTTACTTTATAAAACCCTTCCCCAATCTATTAGAGCTATTAAGAGAGCAGATCAGTACTTCAAGACATTCCGGACTGAAAAGTACTTTGTGGGGTTTTTGTTGTTTTGTTTGTAAACACACTTCAATTCAGTAGCCTGATGTGAAAAGTTCAGGAGAGCTGGTCACTTTTTTCGGTATTATATTTATAAATACAGCAATTCATTATTCTGTTTCTCCTCAACTAGAAAGGAGTGATGCCACATGAAATCAGTAACCGTATCATACATGTACTAGTGCTGTCTGCATATCCCTTTTTACTATCAAATTTCTTTATGAGGGAAGCCGTGATAAAACGTCTATTTTATAAAAGCTTAAATTTAAACACACCCATGTTGAGATGATTTCCAATAGGTCACTGAATAGCAATGCATTGTAGTGTGTCAAGTAAAGCTGAAACAGCTTGGTAGGATCTTTGGAAAATAAATGGAACAGCACAGGCTGATATAAAGGCAGAATTTCTTTCTCTGTGTATAAATATTTTGGGTTTGGGAGTGTTGTTTTTTTTTTAAACTCACTCAGTTTCTTTCTGTTCACCTTCTCACAAGAACAAGTGGTATAAATATTCCTGAAAGGTGAATTTTGGACTCCGGTACTTTAAATATTAATCAAAAATAAACTTCTAATTATGTTATGAATTTAGATAAAATCCTTTTATTGCATGACCATGTATTCTTTCTAACTGATCTGCCCATCATGACTTGAAGGCGATCGATCTATTGGTCCCACGTATTTAAAGAAAAGCTTTCTTGTATGCAAGCAACGTTACAAAGCTATATGCATCACTGATTTAAAAAACAAGTCTGTATTCTCCACTAGAAATTTACATTAATATGCTCTTACAGTAGCTTAATTAAATACTCACTGCTAAGTACCACATGTAAATAGTGTGACTTGTACAAAATTTAATTTGAAACTATTCAGAAACACCAGCTGCAAAAAATAGAGTATTTCGTTACAAAATCCTGTCAAATCAGCATACTCCTTTGGAAATGTCTATTATTATTCATTATCTGATCCCAAAGGATAAACCTAGAGAAACTGTTATTAAGTTTTGAATCCAATTCTATTATAAATATTTAGCATCATGGGAATACTCTGAGCTCTCCTCTTTATTTTGCTCTTGAGATATCACCTAAAGGAACTGTTAGGTTTTAAATGTATCAAATAATGTAATACTGGCACGTTTCTCACTTTTTCTTCAGCAGTATGTTCTATGAAAACAAATAATATGTTTTTCCTTCATCAATTCATGTTTGTCTTGATTTGTACATAGGTTGTCATACTCTGCATCACAATTGTTTCAATCTCTATATTGCAGAAAAACAGGGAATGAGGAAATTAATTTACCAAATTATTAAACTGTTGTTTACATAAGAAAATAACTTACCTTGCAAATCTGTGCTATCAACGAACTATTCATTTTAAAGACCTTGCAAGTGTAAAATTAGCTGTTACAGAATTGCAGGGTTTGAGCAGTAAGCTACTGTAACAGATAAATACATACAGCAAGCCAAAACACTAAGAAAAAACATTTAACATTGAAGGCAGCCAAATAAATTGCAACTTTTTTTTTCTTTTTTCTTTTTTTAAAGAACAATCCTTCAATAGTTATTGTAAGAAATGTGCTAGAGATTATAATTCCAGCTGCAGTTCACAACAGTAACAAGGCTGTCCTGGTCACAGACAAACTATTTTCACTCCTCTCCAATTCTTCTGCCTAATCACTTCATAGGCGAGGATTGAATATGATAGTATTCTCTATAGCGAATACAGAGACCAAAACTTTCAAGCTTACATACCTTACATTGGACAACAAAATCCATTTTTAGTCACGAGCAAAAAAAACCCTGGATTTTGCAATGAATTGGTCACCTGTGTATCTCTCCACCAGAATCTCAGAATTTAAGCTACTTTACTGCAGTGTCTCTCCTTTTGGTATTCAGGAAATTGCCTACTAACTTTGAGTTTCAGAATAATGTTTTTCATACCGTAGGCTGAGTAGCCAGAAACAAATCTACCTGACTTACATGTAGTCTTTTAGGAAAGCTAAATGAAAGCCCTAATAAAACAGTACTATCAAACCACTTGCCTTGAGTAGCAGATATACAAAGTCTGCACATAAAAAATAGCACAGAGGTATTTATCAGGTTACTATTCTACATTGTCCTATAGCCACTTTAAACTGATGAGACCAATTATATATGGTATCAACTACTCCCAGGGTTTTGCAGTTATGTTTATGAAAGGTTAAAAGCAGGCACTAATATGAGTATCATGACTCTTTTCAGGCAGTAGGTGAAACCTTGAAGAAAAAGTGGCTCTGTCTTCAAAAAAGTGACCTGACCTTTGCTTTGGTGGGTTTTTACTCTGCAAGAAATAAAAAGCACTGCATGCTTTCCAATGCATCCTTTCTAGCTAATAAACTATTTTGTTCTATCACTCAGCACAAAAGGACTACATTTTATAACAATCAAATAGCATGTTATTAGAGCTAGCTAACGATAACTCCACACGTCATACTAGAAACAAGCTTCATGGACCTGGAATATGTCATATGAATCATGAACAGAGTAAATACGTAATTGGCCAAGAACCTTTGATATGCTTACTAATTAGAATTAATTCTCATCGAACTAAATAAATTTAATTTTACAATGACTTTGCAGTTCTTTGGATATCAAAGGCATCACAAATCCAGCATGCTTATCATTTATGACACTTCTGCTCTGAGAATTTCTTGCAGCATGCAAAGAACTCTGTAGGGTAACTGTGATGTGTTGCACAAGCAAGCTAACCTAATGTTGACCTGATGATTAATAAAATCTGTTAAAAAACCACAACAGAATGTAATGTTTTTACCTGCAATTGATGAAATGTTTCTGAAATAACCTGTAGTTCAGTATAAGCAGTAGTGTTGGGTTTTTTACTGGACACAGAATACAGTGCTAGTGAAAGTAATTCTAGTACATGATGTGGTAGTAAAGAACCCCTTCTGTTAATAGACTTTTAAGTATTTAAATATATTTAAGTCTAGTGTAAAATGCTACTTTTATGGAGCCAGATCCTGCAGTCTTTGTACAGCTAAAACTTCCACAGAAATCAATGGGAGCTTTGTAAGTATAAAAATAAGGCCATGCCCAGGGTCACCAGCATAATACAGTTCTGCTGTTATGCTTTATGTGTGTGCTCAGACTTTCTCTGTCACTTGCAAGAGTATAAGAGATCAAAATACAGAAACCCATGTGAAATCAAGACGACAAATACCCTTTTTAAATAAAGAGTATGGTTTCAAAGAGAGAATGGCACAAACTGTTAGGGCATTTTTTGTTTGGCTAAAATATTAAGTATTGTTAAAAACAATAACTTTGTCTTGAATATTTACAATATATTAAGTGAATTTTAAGAAAAGTGATGTTTAAAAAAATAATCTTAAAGTTCAACAACAGTGATCTCTTTGGAGAACTGTAGCAATGCCTATGACAGCAGAATTTGGCTCCGTATATTCTCTTAGCAAAAAACAGACTGTTTAAATAATGTAAGTTGCTTTTTTAAAAATGTTATTAGAGCTATAAACACTGTGGGCCCAGCCCTACAGGTAATACTTTTAAATTTCAGGGAGCATTTGCCTCAGTGAACTACAAGGATCTGTGCTTTATTTGCAAAATCAGCTCGATGCTATTTTTAAGCAAAAACCAGGCATTTCAGACATAAACTTTTGGATAACAAATTAAAGCAAGGGGCTGATCCTGCAGACCTTATTCCTATGGAGATCCTATCCTGCAGAAGGTCCAAACCCTTCCATTCGACTGGAGTATTTCCAGCCAGCCTTGTCCCAGCAAGGCAGTGCCGTATTCCCGTTGACTTCAATGGGGCAACTCTGACAAGTCACGAGACTACGGCCAGAGCCCAACCACGTTGATAACGAACCGGTTCACAGATAGTTTTTTATTATTATTATTTTTTAACAGTGTTTGTGTATTCTACTTTCAACCAAGCTTTGCTTCCAGCCGTAAACGCCGTCAGTTTAACGACTGGATGGTTGTGGGGTGTGTTGTTGGGAAGCGGTTGTTGGTTGTTGCCAGGCCCGCTGCTGACTCGCGCCATTGTTGATTTCGCTGTTGTAGGGGAAAGGCTCTAGGGCGGCAGATAAGGCTGTTGCCATGGTGATGAAGGAGATTCCGAGGGAGGAGTCTGCAGAAGAAAAGCCCCTCCTTACTATGACATCACAGGTGGGCAGAGCGCGGGGCTCAGAGGAGGCCGCGGACACAGCGCGAGATGCAAAAGCCCCACGGGAAACGCGGCACGCGCAGCCCGAGGGGAACCTCACCCGCTGCTTAGCTTCCCCTGGGCGCAGTGGGGCTGGTTGAACCCACCCGCTAGAGGATCCCACACCAATGTCAGCACAGTCCCTCACCGATATGGGGAAAAATAGCGTGGGGTAAATAACGTAATCGCTTGGGGGTTTAGATGTTTTGACATGAAAACTTAAACAAAAATGCATTTTTGCCCCCAAATAAAGGGATCTGTAGAAAGTACGGTATGTCTCAGTTACCAGAAAGTTATTTAAAACCAATTTAAAATCTCAGTTATAATTCATGCCATCAATATTCACACCACAAATATTCATTTGCAATGCACACATAAAATACTCTATGCATATATGAAATAAGAAACAACCACTTCACAGCAGTATCATTTTCAATCTCTCTGATCCCATCCCTAAGCTCTCACTGGGATTCTGCTCCTGGTCCAGGTCAGAATATGTAATTTTGCACACCCCACTGCTTTCATTTCTACAACTCCAGTCAAAGGGGAGGATGTAACGTCATCACACTAAGCCTTACACCTTGGAGTAGCCATCGAACATTAGGTGGTTTCATTAGTTTCTTGAAGACAGTGACTGAATGCTACAGTAAAACACAGCACTTCCATCTCGCAGCAAGAGTGGATTGTATTCCCTCCGGTCGCTCACATACATGAATTTGTTCCCCAAGCAAGTGCATTTAGTTTACTGTTAGTATTTAGCACACACAGGTGATTCCCACTCATCAGGAGGTTTAATGGATGTAATCTTAACACACAAGTTGTTCTTTTGTGAGAGCCTTCGGCAACATCCACAACCCTCTTTTATTCCTTTCACATCTAAAGATAACAGCTACTGTACTTTTTGAACATATTTAGGATGCACACAAGGCCAGCACATACTTCTCTTACAGAGAATCGTGGATGCGCTGCACTAATACACATATTATAGAAGTATCTTCTACTACTTTGGAAACCAGGTCTGGCAATCTCCTCCTCAGCCCCTGTTGAACACTGTATTTCGCTTGCGGTGAACTCTAATGTCTATGGAGTAATTGCACAAAGGAAAAGGATGCTCTCTTTAAGGCATCCTTTCTAATTTTCTACTAAGTGATAAACAAACAATTAGAAACCAACACAAAATGCTGCCTCCTCTACCCATCCCTGCCCCCCCCACCCCACCAAAAAAGTGCAAAACTTCCATTGGCTTCAACAGGGCCAGGAGTTCAGCCTGGGTTCAGTAAATGTTTAATGCACCATTTGTAGTGGTTGTCAGTCTACTCAGCAGAAGTCTATGATAAATTTATGAGTAAAATGCTTGTGTCTGTTAGTCAGTGTAATTTCTTCCACTAAACACAAATACCTACTTCCCTGCTATGCACCAAAGGGGTGCAGAAGCCAAAAGGAAGCAGAATCAAGTGAAAAAGTGAGTATTTTCCATAGCCATCTCTGCATCATGTATGTGTGATGTGCAGTTACGTGACCACATTGCATACATCATTTGTATCCTAATTATCTGGCTGTAATGTTGTTTTGAGATGCTTCCTCTTCAGTGTGTCTGTGTAAATGTGTACAGCTCTCATTCAGACCATTCATTCTGAATAATGCACCGCTATATTGTGATATTCATTTAGCCATCACCATCAAAGTGTTGTCTCTGCTCTTTACATGATGAAACAGATGGATGTGGTTGCTGCTCACAGAGTGAAACACACAAGTTCCAAATTGGCTGCAAACAAGTTTTCCAAGCCAGATCAAATTGGGTCATCAGAATAAGGCCTGGTCCTTCCAAAGTTACCACCACTGAACCCAGTATATCTTAGGAAGGAATTACACACAGTAGATATCTTTGTTGCTCCATCCCTACAACCAGTTAAGCAAGAAACTTGCAAATAAAATGCAAGGTTCAAGCGCAGATAGAGGAGTACCAACTGTTCTTAAAAAAAAAAAAAAGTGAAATGTCTCATTTCCAAAATCCTTGCTGAATGGAGGATTAATCACATCTGACTGTGGAGCAGACTCCACAGGAAGCATAAGTGGAATCTGATACATGAAGAAGAGATTCTAGATCCTCACTTTATGAGAAATAGTTAGTGATAATGTACAGAGGTCCCTGAATTTGTATTTTAAGAGATGCCTCTTTGCTCTCTTCCTCTGGAAAATGTTAAAAACATATTCAAGAGAGAACAAGTCAGATAAATATTTGCATTTTGTTGTTATGCTTCTAGCAAAGCCCTGCTTATAAAATATGACACTTATTTGTTGACATAAATACTGTCAATTAAATTTTAATGACATTTCAAATTCACAGATTTTATATCATCAGGTATTATTTTATATCATCACATCTGGAGCCAAATCTTCAAGTAACAGGAACCAAAGAAATATTGCAGACTCCAGTGGGATTATGCCACTATATGGCAACTGGGAATCTTGACCATCATTCCAGAAGTAATGAGTGTATTACAATAAGCAGAGGGATATTCTTCATAATTGGATAGGCCTTTCAGTATCTATTTTTTTTATTCTGTCTCAATTACTTTCAATGAAAGTCACTTTATTGGTGTGAGAAAGTATTCAGTAGTTGCCAAATTTAACACCAAGCATCAACAGAAAGTAAGCTTTCAGTACTAAAGGGATTTTGTGGAAAGCGGCTCTCTACCATGTTGTTTTCTCCCTTTATCTTTTGTAAGATAATTCAGAAGAGACTGGAACAAATTAAAAAAGGTTGTGATTTTTTTTATATGAATAAAACCTAGAAAAAGTGAAAGAATATTGAATATTTGCTAAAGGTTCAAAGATTAACTGGAAGTTAAGCTACTATCCCATATACTTCTAATTAAAGCAGAGAAGTAAATGAGAAAATTCGTGCATAAAAGTTTGATTTGAATTCCAAAATAAAATTTTTTGTTTAGCCTCTTCACAGCTTCTTTGCATTTGTCAGGAGGAAAACAGCTCACTTCAGAATTACTTTCTAATGAGAAATTTAAACCTAAATATCCCCTGGAGTCAAAGTTTAATTGTACAGTCAGCCATGAAATTCCCAATTTACTACAGGTCAGCGAACTTCAAAAGATCTGATTCAATAAAGTACTTTGATCCACACTTACACTTTAAAATATGATTAACCGCTTTATTGAGCAGTAAAAAAAGTGCATGCTTAAATGCCTTGCCAGCCTGATTTTAAACAAACAAATCTGAGTCACAAGAGTTATTTGTCACAGATCCATCACACCTAATTTAGATTCTTCATTAGAATACATAAATTGGAAAGCTAGCGATGGTAGGATCCCTACAAAGATAATAGTAGGAAATAAGACCTGCAGGAGATGATTCATGTCCAAGATGGTCCTGTGGCAAATACACTCTGGAACAAAAACATGAGTTCATGAAAAATTCACCAATAAGAAAAGGAAATGCAAAGTATATCTTGAAAGCTATCCCCACTTCTGTTTATAGCTGAAAAATATGGGAGCTGCCTTCTTAAAATTTACATGAACTACACAGACATTGTACATCAGAGTACAATTTTGATATTGACTGCTTATAATTTAAAAAGTTAACCTACAGAACACAGTTTTTGGATTTGAACTGGAAAGAAGAAATTTTAAAAGTTGAAATCACATTACAAGAAACATTTCTTCACTCTGAGGGTGGTGAGGCACAGGAACAGGTTGCCCAGGGAAACGTGGAAGCTCCATCCCTGGAAGCGTTCAAGGCCAGGTTGGATGGGGCTTTGAGCAACCTAGTCTAGTGGGAGGGAGGGTGGAACCGATGGTCTTTAAGGTCCCTTCCAACCTAAACCATCCTATGATTAAATTCATCCTGTCCCATGAAAAATGCATGCTACAACACAAGTTGTCAGAAAGGAGAGATACATTTCAGAGCTACACCCCAATTAACTCCACCAGATACTTAAGACTTTTTTTTTTTTTTTTTTTTACACAGTCTCTCTATGAGGCATTAATTAGTATTCAGGAACATTTTAATTTAAAGTGAACTTCATTTGCATGCCATTTGTTGATCCATGCACATTTAATATTTGCTCAAGGGCTTTAGTAAAATACTCAAACACTACCACTCCCTAAATACTACTGATTTTTCTTTTTTCCCCTCTTGGTTGGGCTTTTCTGTTGTTTGTTTATTGGTTTTGTGGTGGTGGGGTTTTTTTTGTGTTTTTGTTTTGGCTTTTTTTTTTTTTTTTTTAACACTTTTTAAACTCTGATAGATCTTCCAAATACTTCCATTCAACTTTATACAGGAAACAGAATAAAGATCACTAGATCACTGATATTCTGCTCCTGATGTTGTTAGTAGATTTTCTGATGTGTATCAAGGACTCACTACATGAATTTGATTGCATAATCAGTTTTCAATATAAAAGTTTACAGTCCCATTTGAATCAAGCATGTTCATTCTAAGCTTCTCAGCATTAGACTTGCATTGACTTACAGTCCACTCCATAAATGTTTACTAAATAACATTATAAGATTGGCAGAAAGTTGAAGTGAATGAATTAGCTTCTGTTCTCTTTTATACCAATCTAAACCAGAATTAACTCCATTTTAACTAACTGATATACATTAATGTAAAAAAAGGCAAGAAACATGCCAGTATAAGATAATGACAATAATTAAGTTTGGACTACAATAATTCACTGTACATTACAATCTGCTCTCTGAGGACAGTGGCAACTTCCTTACTGATCTTAGGACAAGAGCTGAGATTATTATTTTTTTTTTTTTAAAGGATTCACAATAAATTCATTAGCAGTATTTGTCATACATCTCAAATCTGTCTCGTTTGATTTATTATAAAATTTTTCAGTAGTTTAGCAGGGGACACTTCTTAAGTCCTATGGATAACTTTTTTTCATCTATTATTAAAACAAGGTCAATATAAGAAGAGTAAAAAAGGAAATAAAATT